ATACACTATGCATCAATGTCTCTTCCCTTTGTGCTTTGAACTTTTTTTAAGTGGTGCTGTGACTCCGTGTTGCTTCAAGCGTATCATTCTGCGCACGTGATGCGCACAAGCGCTTTGTGCCGCTCTGTATTGGAGCCTTTCGTATCATAATACTTTTGCACAATGGCAGATTATTAATAGCCTTTCTTGTTCTATCTATCATATGTTGCTGCCTCATTACTGTGTTATACATTTAGAAGAAATGTCTTTTAATTTTATAGTAGGCCCTATATATTTATATAAATATATTACTTTTTCATGAATGTATTTTACAACCATACAAAGAGCAATGTGTAACATTTTATCAGATTTAGTCCAACACTTATTCGTTCCCCACTAAATAATGTTTTTTTTTCATAAAAAGTTTAGATTTTATAAAATTATTAAAATTATTGTGCACTCATGATTTTTCTAGAGTAATTTTTGCTACTGAATTATCCACTAACCTAGTTTATAATAGCATTTTTGTCATAGATTATGATTATATATTTTTTTCTGTTTGTTATTTTTTCTTTATAAGAAAGTTGTCTATATTTAGTAGATTGTGTGTAACACACAAAAGAGTGATTAAATTCTACACTGATTAAAAAAAACTGCGCTGGTATCGGATCGATATCGGATCAGGATCGGTTCTGAAAAAGTGGTATCGAGCCACCCCTAATTATCTGGTAATGCGAGGCGTTCACCGACCGAATCTTGCACCTCCTGATCTACTCGCACACAAATCGGGGCTGCCCCGATTAATATCAAACATGTTTGATATTTAGGATTTAAGTTGGGATGATGATGACTGTATGATTACTTCAGTACTTTTCACAATAGCCAATGCGCGACCGCAAACCAGCTGCTGTATGGCTTCGTTGGATAGTGGAGACGGAGGAAACTGCTACTTGACGTTTTGTAGTAACACGACTGTCTGAATAATGTGTCGAAAACGTATCACAACCGTAAGGAGAAAGAGAAGTTCTGGGGTGAAATCGCCTCTCTCTGGCATGATAATCTTAATAATATATTGTAGTGTGTGATGCTCCACGATTTTCAAATCTTGTAGTGTGTGCATGTTTAAGATTTAAAGGAAAATAATCTGCAAAGATTCTCCTTATGTGTGTGCTGCAACCGGATTTCATAAGCAGTTAGGATTTTAAAACTCCTGTAGTCATAACCCGGCTTAAGCAGCAGCTTTGTTTGGATTGTGATTAAAATGCAGTGGTTGCCTCTAATTTTAAATGCAAAGAGCACAGGCAAAGCCTAATGCTGGGTACACACCACAAGATAATCGGGCTGATTTTGGGCCGCTTTCTCCCCTTCCGACAATCCTAGGTAATGTCCCGATTATCTTGGTGGTTCTAAAGATTATCTTATCAGATTTTCCTGTGGTGTGAGGTGTGCTAAGAGTGACTGAATCTGCTCAGAAGAATGTCAGAGGCGCCCCGATCTTGAATCGTAAATATTCAACATGTTGAATACTTACGATTAGAAATCCTGATGTGTGGGGGGGAACGCCGAGGACACCACACACTATAGGAGCAAAACGGTTAAATCTAGGATTTTTTTGTCCTCATGTTTGTGGTCTCTCACATTTTGAAGATCTTATAAGATTTTAAAAATCTTTTAGTGTGTACTCAGCATTAGTTAGTTTATATGAAGAGATTCCTTTTATACGTGTTATTTATTTGATTTGGGGTTTGTTTTAAAATTTAGGTTTCGTTTTGTTGTTGGACATTTAAATTTCACAAAGAAATGTAGTCCAGCATTTTGTTTGATAAATAATAAAAGGACACATTTTCATTTATAATTTTTCTTAAATCTCAATTTGTTAAAGCAGCACTATGTAACTTTTGGCACGGTTAATAAACAGAACTGCACACATCCTGCGGAAGAACATTCCAACCGGAGCTTTATGTCTATGGCGATTCACGCAGGTATGTGTTACTCCGCAGCGGTGACGACCAACCGGGCTACAATAGTCCAAATATAAGTACTTATTATAAGTGTACCGTAGTGATTCGGATTAAGACAAAAACGCGGTTTGGAAGATGAATTCATGATGTACTCACTCATTACATGCATTTTGCACATTTTGAACACAGAAAAAGTTACACAGTGCTGCTTTAAAAAAGAAAATTGTAGTACTGTGAATTCTATCACATTGTGACTTGAGTGAATCATTACATCCCTAGTTTTTATTTTTTTTTAAATACTATGTGAAAATATGTCAGTGGAATCAAATGAGTCAAGAAAGAGATTAAAAAATAAAAACAACAAATAAATAAAGTGCAGTTGATATTACTTCCTGTATGACTAATTCACTGGAAATGATAAATCAAGATTACAGTGCATTGCATTGTAGGACACAGAAATCCATGTACTAACCCTAAAGCTCAAACTATACTTCCGTTGTTTTTTTTTTTTACAGGTACTCTAGTGTATACATCCAGTTGAAAATGTAGCCTTTCAAAGTATTCTCCATTTGACGCAAGCGGTCGACATATGCACTCCAGCTATTTTCATCTTTGTACACTGTCTGCACTATTTTTCTCCAGAAGTTATGGCAGATAAAAATATTTGTACTTTTTTTAACTAAAAAACAAAAACAAAATTGGGCAGTGTGCACCCTCGCATGCGTGTATAAACCAAAGTATACTTTGGGCTTAACCTTCTTGCACATTTTGGGAAGTAGGTCATCTGGGCACTCGGTGTATAAAGAAAATTTGCATACTACCAAAAGTACACTACAAAGTGTGAAAATAGCATGGTAGTGTGCCAATCACAACCACTGTCTTGTTTAGCACTTCGCCTCATTCAAAAAGCTACAGCATTAAAGTAGAAAATTACACAGCCCCCCCCCCCCCCCCCCCCT